TCAGACGAGTACATGCGGTGACTATGGACCGGGTTCTTCCTGCGTGACATGCTGGTCACGCATCGTTCGGGTTCTTCCCACGGTTCAACTTGTACGGATCCTCGGCAGGCGGTCACCCGCTATCGAGACGGTGACGGATTCCCCTCAACACCCGCGCTGGGACGATGGCTGTGTTTGGCTCCGCGGCAGTCAGGCTGACCTAAAGTGCCGTCGCTGACACAGTACCCAACCTTTCCAGTCAAAACCATGTTCAAATTTCAAGTTGCCAATCTTGTTGTAAATCCTGTATAGGAAGGTTGCTAGACCTTAGTTCGAGCTTTCTGTCACCTCAGAACCCCCTGGTAGTCCCTGAACAATACAGGAGTTGACTCTATGTCGGATTTCCGATATCACCCTTTTGGGCATTTCAAGATTATCTTGAATGGTGGGATGCTGGAACTTTGTCAGTATGCTCTTGGGACCTGTACAATTCATGGAAAAATACTTTTCGCCGAGCTCTTGCAGTGGGAAATCGTGTGCGCACGTAACCCATTTGTGTTGTGAGAAATGGAAAGGAACACCACATAACATTTCTTTTATGATGTCGGTCCCCTCCAGCGAGCATGTAGGCGAGGCAAAGAACTTACTAGGGCTATTATAACCTCAACTACATTGAGATAGTGCCGCCCGCCGGTATTTCTCAAGTGCCGAATCGAGTGGGCGGGTGAATTTGGTTGAGATGGAAAGGAACACCTGTTTTGCGCCGTCGGTCCGGTCCAGCGAGCGCCTAGGTTGAGCAGAAAATTCACTAAGGCTATTATGCACTCAACTACGTTGAGATAGCGCCGCCCGCCGGTATTTCTCAAGTGCCGAATCGAGGGCGGGTGAATTTGGTTGAAATGGAAAGGAACACCTGTTTTGCGCCGTCGGTCCGGTCCAGCGAGCACCTAGGTTGAGCAGAAAACTCACTAAGGCTATTATGGACTCAACTACGTTGAGATAGCGCCGCCCGCCGGTATTTCTCAAGTGCCGAATTGACGGCGGGTGAATTTGGTTGAAATGGAAAGGAACACCAGATTGGCGCCGTCGGTCCGGTCCAGCGAGCATCTAGGTTGACCAGAAGACTCACTAAGGCTATTTTACACTCAACTACGTTGAGATAGCGCCGCCCGCCGGTATTTCTCAAGTGCCGAACCGACGGCGGGTGTATTTGGTTGAAATGGAAAGGAACACCTGTTTTGCGCCGTCGGTCCGGTCCAATGAGCATCTAGGTTGAGCAGAAAACTCACTAAGGCTATTTCACACTCAACTACGTTGAGATAGCGCCGCCCGCCGGTATTTCTCAAGTGCCGAATCGACGGCGGGTGTATTTGGTTGAAATGGAAAGGAACACCAGATTGGCACTGTCGGTCCGGTCCAGCGAGCATCTGGGGACTCCAATACACCCCAACTCATTCAATATGGCGCCACCCGCTGGCATATCTGAAGTGCTGTTTCTTTTTTTTCTTTTTTTTGTGGCGGCAAGCGGGCCGGCGGGCCGGTACTCGAACCGCGAGCGGATCGTGATGCGGCGCAGGGTCGCAGGCAGTGGCGGGTGGACAACGTGGGTAGAGATGTATTGTGTATGTAGGCCGGGATGTACGCCCGTAATGGGAGGGTGCAAAAGTGAGCTTTTGACAGCCGGCGCTGCCAACTAACACATCCAAACAATCGGTGGGCATCCCAACCTCACACATACAAACACAGCTCTGCTCCCTAACGTTCCCAAACACCAACGGACGTCCTGCAAATGCTACAACGTGAGTGGAGGGTTAGGAATGTGGTTGGTAGGCTGCCTCACCGTAGACATACCCCCTGTGCTCGTTGTTCGTGGAAAAGCCGGATGATAAAGCGCGGAACGGTGCGGCTTGGTGCGGCACATTTTGGGTGGACGGGCAGCACCGCCACGCGCCCGGTGATGCGCGCATCAAAGCGCCAGACGACGCCGCCACCTGGTGATGGACCGGAAGTTCTAAATCGAGTGAGCCTCTGACATATATATAAAGTGGCACCTCTGATCAGAGGCCTTTATATATAAAGTGCCACCTCTCGCTCAGAGGACCTTTTTATATAAAATCACCGTATACGCCTGCATCCCCGACGCCCGCGGTACTGCATCCCCTGTGCGGACGCGGGTCGCCCATCCGCCCACCCACCGCACCCACACGCACGCCCTAGCGCGGCGTCCTCCCCTCCTACAGCGCTCAGCACTCAGATGCGTTTCTGCGCCAGTGAGCGAGTCACCCCGCGAGCAAAGAATACATAGTCCGAGTCGGCGGCTCGCGCAAACGGCCGAGGGCGAGGCCGAGACGAGGACGCGCACCGGGGCAAGGGAGGAAGAGGAGAGGAGGGAGGAGGAAGAGGAGGAAACCGCGAAAGAAAGCGCGCTTGGGCGCACGGCACGCGGTTCGTCTTTTTCACATTGGGCGTACGGGCGGGCGGGGCCCACAGCCGTAGCTGCCTCCTCCACTCTCAGGCTCCAAAACAAAAACAACAGACCAAAAGAAAAGAGAGAGAGTGCGCACTGCGACAGCGTCTCGTCTCGCGCTACACCACATCGCACATCGCGGGGCAATGTGGCACGCACATAGGGGCGGGCAGGGGGCCGCGCGCGACAGACACAGTCTGTACACAGGACCCACGACAACGCGATCGCATGCGCATGGTGCACATGGGCAACATCCACGGCGGACGCCCGCAGCCCCGTTACAGACGCATTGGCGTCGGCGCCCTGCATGCATGCCTGAGCGCCCGAGGATCCAGCGGATGCGTTGGCCATCGACCGCGTAGAATGTACCGGTAGGAACACATGCAGCGTGCGCTCGTTTCGGCGCCGGACACCGGACAGCGAAAACAAAGAGAGTAAAATAAACGGTACATGGTGGTTGGCCTGCCTGGGACGCGTACAGTTAGTGCGTGTAGGCTGAGCATAGCGGACGGAGACGGGGAATGGAGGGTGCACAGGCAATTACAAGAACGAAGAACGATGGCTGCACGTCCTGCCGCTGTGGCGCGGACGGAGAGCAGGTGAGGACAAGGGCACCGCTGCACCAGAGCACCAGAACACCTGCGCGCTGTGCGCACAAGCCCGCGGGCACGTCTCCCGAGTATAACCCAAGACTCGAAGAGAAAAGCACTTAAGAAAAGTGGTTTGTGCTGGCCCGCGTCCCAGTAGGTAGGTTGGCTGGGAGTGGAACAATTGCCACCGAGAAAGCGAGCCGTGCCAGATCGCGAGAATAACCAAGCTCGCTGAGCGTGCGCGATGGTGATGTGTCCGTATTCGCCTCAGATCTTTCGTCGTCCCTCACCGGTCCCAGTGAGAAGTCCGTTTAACAGTATCGAAGTGGAACGAAGAGAATTGAAGAAATTGAAGCCAATCTAACAAAAATTGAACCAGATTGAAATGACGCACACCTTTTCAATTTTTCGTTCTCTCGAGTCGGCAGTTCCGCGGCTTTCGCTCGGGGCCGTCATGCGCAGACTTGGTGACTCAGAACCCAAGAAATGCCACCCCACGGCGTCGGAGTTCGAAATCCTTCTTGCTTCCTGCCACCACCATCCCGCCATCGCCTCCCTACCCCTTGCTCTTGTCGCACTCAACCTCGCCGCCGCCGCCTCTACATTACTCTTGCCCATGCGCCTACACCTGGCCTTTCGTTCCCATGACAGCCAGTGGACCCTTCCCGGACTCGATGGAGTTTAGTTGCAGAGGCTGAAGCTGTTTATCTGTTCTAGGGATCCCAGGGTGGGTTTGGGCAGGTCAGAGAACTTGGGGTCTCGAAAGTGTGTTTCCCTTTTTCTCTTTCGTTCCTTGTCTGATTGGGATCCAAACTCTTCTAGGTTCACTTTCCGAAGCCCGCAATGTAAGTTATTGTATTTGATAGCTTGATATCCCTTCTGGCCCTCGCATCGACGACGTTTAGCTCCATCTGTGCCGCCCGCCAAGGTCGAAATACGGCTAGGTATGTTGCATGCTTCGCAAACTCACATACCCATATCATCCGGCTTTCGTTCAGCTTTCCCTCCATTTCCTCCCTGCGCCCGCCCGCCGAGCCTTCCGAGATCGAGGCGCTGGCTCGAAACTCACAACTTGAAGTGTGTGTCTTGCTTTCCTTCTTACCGCTCGCTGTCTAATTACGCTGTCTAAGCTCTTCTGAGTTCGCCGCGCTCCGCTGATTAAATGTAAGTTGATTGTGCCGGCTATCCCCCATCGTGCTTATCTTTATGTTCAGCTCCATGAACGAAACACGAACCAAGGTATGTTGTTGCACTTCACGCACAAAACCATATCGTGCTCATCCGACTTTTATTCAGGGTTTTGCTTCTTCTTGCCGCGCCGCCGCCGACTTGGAACTACAGGCGACAGGCTACGGCAGTGCCTGCGAGGATGTGGTGGGTTGTCGGCGAGATCTAGCACCAATTCTATCCTGTATTCTGTAGAAAGTGAATAGATTTCAGTTTGATTCTATTGTTTTCAATGCGGTTCAATAAGGTTCAATTAAGTTCGATCCCGTTCATTCTGATTCGAGGGCGTTCAATCAAGATCGAATGAAATTGAAGTATTTCCAGCTTTTCGAACAAAAATTGAAGGTCTTCGATATTCTTCGCTGTAGTTCGACCCACTTCAACGAACTTCTCACTGGGAGGCCTCACCGGTCTCACCCTTTCCGCAAAGACTAGCCCATTTGCGTCCTCGTTAGTCCCCGCTCCAAAGTTGCCCCGAGCTTTTAAAGTATCCAGATGCTGTCGATGAGCTATGCCAACTGCGCCGTCGTGCAAGCTACAGAAAGAGCGCCAAAATCAAGAAGAGAAGCCGGGCCGCGCCGGGTTGATCCGTTCACCAATGCCGAACACAAATGCACCATGGCCATGGGTTGCTTCAGCTTCGTGTCACCACTAGTACTTGGACAGCAAAAGGAAATAAATAAGGGAAGAGTCGGAAGACAAATTAGAAACAAAGAAAAAGATATCCATGTATATTATGCCCTGACCCGGGTTCGAACCGGGTATCCTTCACAATCCCATGTGGAGATGAAATTTATGTAGACGTGTTAACCGTTACACCATCAGGTCAATGTCGTGAGCTCTTAGTATATACACGAGCGCAGCAGGGTGCTTCGCACCCCACCACTTCGGTTGAAATATTAATGGTGGGACACTTTGTGGACGGTGAGATCGAGGCAGTGACGATGCGGTGCCAGAAGCAAAAAAGCGTGTGAAGGTTTTGGATGAGCATGTTATCTTTCACATGTTTCGCACACGGCAGCGGCTTGCAGCGGCAGAGCGAAGGGGGTGGGAAGAAGCATGGCGACGCAGAATGACACCGGACATCAGCGGAGTCTGAAAGGCTTCAGACGGACAGACACTCGTAATTTTTTAAAGAGGTAGATAGATATAGAGCACCCAGTTGGGGGACCGTGCGGGAATATGCGTTCACGATATTGAATAGGAACTTGAAGAAGAAAAGAAATACTCAGTACGCTTACTTAACTCGAACAAAGAAAGAAAGAGAGGACAAGAAAAAAAAACGACAATTGTTGCTTCTTCCATATCGCCTACTACATACTGGCATCTCAACGCATCCACTGTCACTCACCGCTTGCCATTTAAGGCTCAGGCGTACAAGCGGAAGATCCCGGTTCGATTCCGCGCGAGGTCGTTCGGTTTCTGTGTTCATATAAACTTTTTGTCCTTGAGAAGAAATGGGTTTTGTTGTGTAAGGATCATAAGCCCTTCGTGTCCGTGCCTGACGAGCTTGGTTCCAACTTTGTTCAGGATTTAGATAAATACTTATGTGTGATTGACCGAGATGCCCGAGCACCATTCTCAATTTCATTCTCAATTTTCATGAGTATATATACTCACTCAGTCAGGGAACAAAATTTGAGGAGTGAGACCCCGCAGCACCTGGTGTGCGTCCGCGCTTCCGTTTGCATGAAGAAACTGCGGCAGCGGGAGGTCCCGGACTCCCGGCTCGACTCCGGCTCAACGAGGATACAGATTCGACAAGTGAAAGGTGCCGCGGTCATAGGCCAATATAGCGATGACATTTTCTCGCAGTTTAGCGATCCCCCCCCCTCTCCATTTCCCACCTGCGAGCCCGGGAGGGAATCACACGCATCTTAATAAGTCCCACTCGAAGTTTGAACATCCCCGAGATGCCCGGTTGAGGACTTACAAGGATTCAGAGGTAGGTGTATTCCGGCGGTGTCGTTAAGACACAGCCGGGCCCGTACTACATACATACATGTTTCAAGTGTATGCTACAGATGCGGTCAATCTTTGGCCACTTGATCACCTGCGCAGACGCCTTGCACGTCAAGTACCGAAAAAACAGAAATACCGGTTGGAACAAAAGGCAAGGAGGCCCATAGGGACGCATGATGGCCAAAATACGGTACGAGGGATAATTATAAGAAATACCATCTTAAATTTCGTGTGAGGCGTCGTCCGATTTTACCACACGATGCGTGGTGCATAGGGTTGCAAGTCTATCGAAGCTCTATGCAGTCCAAGCCGTCACTCAAACCCAGGCGGCTACGCACTAGTGAATCCTCGGGCGCGGCTGGCTTGCGGCGCCTCAATCAAAAACTTGACCTGCGGCGAACCGGAACCGATGTGTATCCGTTAGAGGATCCGGAATACTAGATTACTATTATGCGGATATCAGCAGAAGCGGATAATGGCTGGCGATGGACAGGGAAGCAGAGTCCTATTCGCTCCACGCTGGGAGTGCGGAGGGACCCGGGGAACAGCTCGCGCCTTCTATATGGCCCAATGCACGCAATGAAACTGAACTTGGTGCCTCAACTGCGTGTCGACTCGCCCCGGTTTCTCCGTGTTCGACTGTGTCTTCACCGGGCACAATCGAATATTGTTTAATCCCTCCTGGTTTCCGGTGCGTATTCCTGACCAAATACCGATAGTAAGGCGTTTCTCGCGGTCAAGCTCGGTCGCTTTCTGCATTTCAATTTCATTTCATTTCGTTTCATTTCATTTCGTTTCATTTCGTTTCATTTCCCTTCATTTCACTTCATTTCATCTATTCAAAGTGTGACTACATGTGGCCAGTTAGGCTGAGGTAGCTGTACCTACGGGTGTACGAAAGTAATACTACGTTGGTTTGTACGTGACGGTTTTTTTTCCGAGTCATAAGAGAGAGAGACAAGGAATTAGAAACGTATTCAGGAAAGTCGGTTCATAAAGTGTCATAGAAGGGCTGTAAAGTGTCATACGGTGGGGCAAGGGATGATGCGAGTGGGTGCAGTTCGTATGAGAGAGAGAGGGAGCGAGAGAATAATTAAGTGCAGGTAGAGTAGGGTAAGGAGACGGAGAGAGATGATAAATAAGAAAAAGAAAACACCACGCATCGTATCATTTCAGGTCAAAGCATCCCGAGGCTTCGACAAACACCCCGACCGCCTTCAGAGTCTTGGGTTCGTTCAGGAGCGTGGAAACGTGGAGCGAGCCAAAGTGACCGGCTGCTCTGGACGCGTCATGGAGGCTTTGGCGAAGAGGTTCCAGGATAGGGCATTCAAGGAGAAAATGGGCGCGAGTCTCTACGGATGCTCCGCAGGCTGGGCAAGCCGGCTGAGTAGGTGAATCCGGATTTGTGGCGGTGGGAGTTTAGGTGGGATGGGCTGTCCGGAGGCGAGAGATGGCCGAGATTGTCTTCCTGGACAACGACGTCGAAAGGTACAGGGGCGAGAGGCTGGAGGGCGGGGGGAGAGCGGTCGATGGGCGTTCTTCTGGTTTCAAGTATTAATCCAGAACAGATAAATGTCACAGTGTAAGTTTTTGTTGTTGTTTTCGCTGAAAGCTGGTGAGCATAATCCAGGAGGATGCCTGCGATAAAGTTGATAATTTGGTACAGGGGCCGCAACAATATTGACCCACACGGCGATTGGGCAGTACAAATTTAATTTCGAACCGTGGGAACTTACAAGTTCGATTCAAGCGTCTTTCGATTTCAGTTTTACTACACTCATTATGTAACTGAATTGGAAAGATCTGAAAGCACACAACACAGGCTGGGATCAAATTGGGTATATGTGCCCCAAATGTGTCAGAAGACGGCGGACAGGATCCTGATGCGCCTGGAGATGGCCGAGCCCGATGCATCGGATGATGACATGGACCAAACATGGACCGACATAACCTATCCAACACTCTTCTAGCTGTTTTCGGTTCGTGTTCGGCTCATTGCGAAAATAGTAATCTAGTGTGGACTCTCCGCATAATCGCCAGATGGAATGCTCGGGGCGCTGGTTCGAGTTTAATTGTTGCTAGATTTGTTGCCGATGACGCGGTGTGCAGGTGTCCGAGGCCCTAAAGCTGACTTACCGTAAGTTTGGATGCCGTTCACCAGTCGATTAAGCATTATCGATGCAACTCCTGCACGCTAGTCGGCCATTCCGAAATGCATCCCGAGGCTAGAATTTTCCACCGCCTACCCTGTGGGCTCCACAGTTTATTTTATCGGACGGCGGCGGCGTGGTACTTACCGACTTCTAGTAGGTGTAGAATCGAGGCGGAGCGGCGGGGCTTTCCCGAATCCAACGGGAAACTTACACGTTCGTTTCTCATTGCCACACTAGACAGTAGAAACGTAATATGCACAGTAGCGGCGAGTATTTGGATTTAAGTACTGAGATCCTTTGTTGGCTAGCAGGTCGCCAGCGCAGACGCTCCCAACCTAACTGACAATGTCGCAACCCGCCGACCCGTCCCCGTCAAAAATTTCAACCAAAAGTGCAGACGAGCACGCCGCCTTCAAGGAGGCATTGGCTATCACCAACCGCCACAAAGGCGTGAGCCGGAGTTCCCCTTTTTCTTCCGTTTGGCACCGCTCATACTTGGAATACTCGCAGAGGAGTAACTTTTGGGGTGCGCTCGCCATTCTCAGCAATTATGCGGCAATCGCGACTTGCATTGCTTTCTCTGAATATGTCTGCCCGCGCCTGGACAACGGGTGGGCCGGTCGAAGTGTCTACACCTTCATGGCCCTCGTCATCTCCTCCCGTCTCCGTGCATTCGAGCATCTGGTGCACGAAGCCTCCCACAACAACTTGTTCACGAACCCACGCGCCCATGAATGGTTCGAATTTACCTATGCTTTCCCTGTGTTTCGTCTCCTCAAGGTGCGTCTCAAGTCTGGTCCGATTGAGCCAATTTATTAATCACTCCCTTGACTACTTAGGTCTTTCGCACTCTGCACCTCGAACACCACAAATATCTCGGTGATCCTGTCCGTGACGCGGACGTCGTGCGGTTCATCGACTACGGTTTCATCTCGGACACGCCAATGTCAGCGGGCCGCAAAACATGGCTCATGTTCGGGCTCCCTTGGACCGGCTGGTTCCACTACGAGTACATCAACACGCTCTTCATCGAATTCTGGACCGATGCGACCTGTTACCCCTCGAAAGTCTTCTACTGGGCTCTCGTCTTGACCACGGTGCATTTCTCCGACACGTGGACGGCCTTTGGTTGGTACTTCGTCGTCCCGTGGCTGGGTATCCTGCCGGTGACGCGCTGGTGGGCCGAGCTTGGCGAGCACTTGGGGATGGACATGACGGGCTATTTCGGAAACTCGCGGACCAACGACGGGTTCTGGCAGCGGTGGTGGATCCACCCGCTGAACGATGGCCTCCATGCCGCCCACCATCTTAACGTTAGTTATTCGTTTCATTTTACGTTCTCCTCGACGAGTATTCACCACGGTTATTATTTAGAGTCAGGTTCCGTACTACCGGTTGCGCAAGGCGCAGACGGAGCTCCTCACGGAGAGCAAGGCGTTCCGCGAGAAGAACACATTCGTGAATGGTGTATGGGAAACTTTCAGCCAAATTTACACGCTCCCAACCATAGTCCGACCGCGCGTCGAAGGAGTGCGTGCGGAGTGGAATAACGGGCAGCAAATGTGGGCGAAAAACTCAAACTGAACCCTGGGCGTCGTATCGCACAGCCGTTGTTTCTACCAGTATCGTCGAAAATCATTTGAGTTCATCCCCCGTCGGGAATATCTACACACATCCCTTAGAAGCCGCGTTTTCATCCGAACAACAGAGAGC